CAATCGGTCATCTATGACATTCATTGACCACCAGGGGGCAGATGCTCCACATAGGAGCTGCTCCCAGCCCGCAGTCCCAGATCCTGATTGAGGCCTGCCGGCCAACCTCTTGGTCCCTCCACCCGGCCAGCAGGCTCCGGTCATCCAATGGGGAATGCGGAACTGGGGGTGGGTGGCAGCGGCGGACACAGGTGGTGGGGCCAGCTGCCCCAACCTGGGGAAGATCAGCTCTGATTGCAGGCCAGGCCTAGGGAACCTACCCATGCATGAATTTCACGCACCAGGCCTCTAGTAGTTAATACTACTCTGTTGCATACTTGAAAGTTGCTAAAAGAGTACATCTCAAAAGTTCTCATAAGAAAAACATTTTGGCCCTGGCTGGTTTGGCTCAGTGGACAGAGCATTGGCCTGTGGACTGAAGGGTCCCGGGTTTGATTTGGTCAAGGGCACATGCCTGGGTTGTGGGCTTGACCCCCAGGTGGGGCATGCAGGAGGCAGTTGATCAGTAATTGATGTTTCTATCTCTCTCTCTCCCTCTCCCTTCCTCTCTGAAATAAATAAATATATTAAAAAATAAGTTACCTAATTATTAAAATTCTGTGGTACACTAAAAAAATATTAATAAAAAAGAAAAACATTTCGTAGCTATGTATGGTGACAAATGATCACTAGACTTATTGTGGTGATCATTTCACAATATATACAAATATTGAATCATGTTAATCACCTGAAACTAATATGTTACATGTTAATTATACCTTAATTTTTTAAAAATGTTTTTCATGGATGCTGCTATTCCCTTCACCAAAGTGTCTCTCAAGGCCTCAGTGAAACCGATAGGTCCTTTTGGGAAACTTAGTTAGGAAATAATTAGGATTAGAATGTTTTGATTTGCACAAGACAAATCCACTCCAACACTCCTATTTTTGTAATCTTTTAATTCCTTTATATTATTTCAAGGAATGTTGGCATTCTCAATTGTATTCAATGTGGGCCATTATTAACTTTACTAGAGGTCCGGCGCATGAAATTTGTGCACTCGGCAGGGTGGGGGTCCCTCAGCCTAGCTTGCACCCTCTCACAGTTTGGGAGCCCACAGGGGATATCTGACTGACAGCTTAGGCCTGCTTCCCGCAGTCGGACATCCTTAGCACTGCCTCAGAGGCAGAAGAGGCTTCTGCCACCGCCGCTGCACTCGCCAGCGTGAGCCTGGCTTCTGGCTGAGTGGCACTCCCACTGTGGGAGCTCACTGACCACCAGGGGGCAGCTCCTGCATTGAGCGCCTGAACCCTGGTGGCCAGTGCACATCATAGTGACCGGTCATTCCGCCATTCGGTCGATTTGCATATTAGCCTTTTATTATATAGTATATTTCAGTCAACTAATTGAACCAACTAGTAGAATCTCTTTCAACTGCTTAAGGCAGCACATTAATTTAGACCCCTGTGGCAAGTGCACCCCTAATCAATCAATTCTACCCAATCCAAAATTACACTTTTTCCTCAGTACATTTTCAGAATCCCAAACATTTTCCTCAGGTTTTGCCAATGTAAATGAGCCAAATCTAGAATTCTTTTGGTAGGAATCTTCTCCTCCTGGGTTTGTCTTTGTAATTATATCCAACCCAGCTACTGGAATCTGATATTATGTGTACAGAGATAAGAAGTAATTTGGGAAGAGCAGGAAGCAAACCGAGTGAGATCAGCACAGGATCTTCAAGCAAGACAGCAACAACATCTTTTCTTTTTAAATTTCTTTATTGATTAAGGTATTACATATGTGTCCTATCCCCCCATTGCCCCCTGCCACTCCCCACTCATGCCCTCACCCCCCTGTTGTCTGTGTCCATTGGTTAGGCTTATATGCATGCATACAAGTCCTTTGGTTGAGCAACAACATCTTTAGACAAGAAGACCTCCCGCTTTGATTAGCAAGGGAGGACACATCAAGTGTTCTGGTTTGTCTGGGGTTGAGGGGTTTCCTGGGACACAGGACTTTCAGTAATTAAACAAGGGCTATTGTTCACCTATTTCAAAGTGTCAGAAGTCCTCCAAATCCCTCTGCCATACAGCCCCATTCCAAATCCAGGTCCTACTGTTTCCTGGTCATTACTCTTTACTTTTAGATGAGGTCTGGTAAGGCTGTGAATACAATTCCTGGTGTATTTGGCAGCCAGATGGCTAAAATAATACCTTGGTTTTCAGTTATTTCAGCCTTACAGTTGGTAAGAGAGAAGAGATTCTTTTAGCAAAAACATAGGCATTTTTCTCATTTTTATACTGTGCCTTGAGCTGAGAACTTAAGCCTTTGAGCCTAAATTATCTCTTTATGATTCCATCTCTGTAGAGCAACTAACCTACCCCACAGTCCTGGATTTCTGCATCCTTTACAGTTTTATGGCAGCAGCCATTTATCAGCCAAAACCTTTCCACTCTTAGATAATGCATTCCATCAATTTTTTTAACCTCAAGTTTGTGTTTCTGAGGTCTCAAAGATATTTTGCTTCGATTTTTTTATTAGTTTTATATTTTACCATTCATACTTAAGTATTAACCCATTTAAAGTCTACCTTTTTACATAGTAGTTTTAATTTTATATAGTATACTATAGGCCCAGTGCACGAAATTCGTGCACTGGGGGTGGGGGGTGGGGGTTCCCTCAGCCCAGCCTGCCCCTCTCACAGTCCAGGAGCCCTCAGTGGATGTCCTACTGATGGCTAGTCTGGCAGCAGAGGCTCGGAGCAGGCGTCCCGTGTGTCGTGTGTGTGTGTGTGTGTGTGTGTGTGTGTGTCTGCGGGGGGCCTGCCCCCAGCCACACCATGGAGGCTTGGAGCAGGAGACCCTCTGTGTTGATCTCTCAGGCTCCTGGCCTCCACTGCATGTTGTACTCTCCCTTGAGCTATGGCCAGGATGGAGGTGCTGCTTGCAAGCCGGGCTTTCCTGCTCCCAGATCGCCATGGCAACCGGGGAGCAGGCCCAGCTGGGGGCTGTCCGCAGGCCGGGCTTTCCTACTCCCGTTTCAGGCCCAGCTTGGGGCTGCCTGCAGGCCAGGCTTGCTTTCCTGCTCCCGGATCCTCATGGCGACCGGGGAGAAGGCGCAGCTGAGGGCTGCCCTCAGGCCAGGTTTGCTTTCCTACTCCCGGATCACCATGGCAACTGGGGAGCAGGCAAAGTTTGGGGCTGCCTGCAGGCCAGGCTTGCTTTCCTGCTCCTGGATCCTCATGGCGACCGGGGAGAAAGCGCGGCTGGGGGCTGCCCGCAGGCCAGGCTTGCTTTCCTGCTCCCAGATCAGGCGCAGCTGGGGGCTGCCTACAGGCTGCACTTTTCTACTTACCGATGGCCCGATCACCACAATGACCCAGGGCCCCGTGGCACTGTCCTTCTCTCCAATAGTAGCACTGTCCTGCTCTCCTATAGTCATAGGGTCCCGGCTGGGGGTGGGGCTTAGCAGTGCAGGGCTTAGGCGGCACAGGGGTCCCAGCTGGGGGCTCAGGTGGCACACAGGGGTCCCAGCTGGGGGCAGGGCTTATGCCCCGCTGCCCAGGGCTGCACATGGGACCCAGATAGCAGTTCACGCTGTCCCGCCCTGACTGTAGTGTAGGATAGAGGCCTGGTGCATCGGTGGGGGGCCTGCTGGTTTGCCCTGAAAGTGTCCCGGATCAGGGTGGGGATCCTGCTTGGGTGCCTGGCCAGCCTGGATGACGGGCTGAAGGCTGTTTGCAGCTGGCCACACCCCCTTCAGGGTGCGGGTCCCCTCACTGGGGTGCCTGGCCAGTCTGGGTGAGGGCCTAAGAGCTGTTTTCAGGCTGGAGGGCAATTTAAGCTCCCAGCCTCTCCTTTTTTTCTTTTTTTTTAATTCTGGGATTTATTTACCTTCTATAGCTGTCACTGGAGCTGAGAGCTAAAAAAAGTTTGTTAGGTTTGTTTGGCTTCTATAATTGAAACTCTGTTGCCATCACTGCAGCTCTAAGCTCTGAGGCCAAAGCTGGCTGAAAGCAGGTCTCTGGAGCTTGTTTAGATTCTATAATTGCAACATAGGTGCTTAGAGTACAGCTCAGAGGCTGGCACCGGCAGGCTGGGAACATTGGCTTCCTCCGTCACTGGAGCAAGCAGGCCTCCTGTTCGCTTCAGCTGTGTGGTTGCCGGCCGCCATCTTGGTTGGCAGTTAATTTGCATATTCTGCTGATAAGCCAATGGGAAGGGTGTTGGGGATATGGTCAATTTGCATGTTTCTCTTTTATTAGGTAGGATAGTTTTCATTTTCTCTATAGTTTTAAGTTTTCCTAATCTTTCAACTACATAATCCATTCTTTATCTCTAATTATAGTGCTGCCTTTATAATTCATATATTCAGGGGGTCTCTGTGAGCTTCTTGTCCTATTCCATTGTTCTCTATATTCTCATGACTGATGTAAGTATAAATATCTGGATACTAGAGGCTTATGAACAAAATAATGTGAAATATCTCATTAATATTTTATACTGATTATATGTCAAATGATAATATTCTGAATATGCTGGTTTAAATAAAAAATATTATTAATATAAATTCCATTTTTCTTTTTATGAAACTACTAGTAATTATACATGTAGCCCTTTCATTTTCTGTTGGACAGTGCTGTTCTAAACTGTACTCTAGTGAAAAGAGAACAGACTAAGAAAAAAGATAAACATAGATTTAAAAGCCGCCTCCTTTACTTACTAGTATTAACTCTGTGGACTTGGCAAGTTACTCAAAATATTCTACTTCATAAAAGAATTGTGGGGACCACATTAAATAAGATAATGTACACAGAATACATGCTACCTAGTAATTAACCATCCAAAGCTGTTTCACTATCTTCCTCTAAGCTCATTCATTTTGTATACAACTGGTATTAAATAAACTAAGTTTATATTGAAATTAACTATCAGAATACTTTTAAATTCATTATATACTGTCACATGACAACCCATTAAGACCCAGCATTATTTTTAAATGAACAATACTTTAAGAGAAAAACAATTATTTTACACTTTTCTTCATTCACTTTTTCTATGCTTTAATAAATCTTTTGCATAGGTAAGTACATTTAGCTAGAGCTATAACACAACATCGAAACAGACAAAAAAGAGGCATTCTGGATCTTATCAAAATAACTATATTGAGGAAATTCTTGACTAAATCTTACCTTCAGAAATACCCCCACCCCTTCTCCCACTTAAAACAATTTATAACCTTCCACTTACAATAAAATCATTTATAGTATAGTTAACCTTGAACATCGTTTTATATTCTTTAAAAGCATTACTTCAAAAAACAGAAAATTCTCCGAAAAATTCTACAATAGCAAATGTTGTTGTACCTGAGCTTATGAATTTAAAATTGTCTCCACTAGTTCAGTGATTAATTTCTAAAGTAAAGCTTGAAATGAACATGAATTTCTTGGCTGTAACTACTAATGGTAATTAGAATATTTTAATATCTAATGTAAAGATTTCTGCTATTGGGGAAGTGGTTACAAAATTTTCTCCAAATTCAGAGGAAATTGTGTTTACTGTAACCACAAAAGGAGCTCTTGATTATCAGAACGAATCAAAGGAACATTAGAGCAGGTCACTCAAGTGGGAACCCAGCTTGTCTGGGAACTGGGCTCTCACTCCTAACTCTGCAGATCCTTGTCTTAAGAGGTTGACACCGCAGACACCCCTTTCTCAAGGAGCTGACCTACTCTCCCCTCTCCTCTTCCCACTGCTCAGCCTGTGCTGAACTGAAGGTACCTACCTCAGGACAGGAGCCATAGTCCTCAAAGGCCCAGGAGCAGTAAAGTGGAGCTGAAGGATAGGGTACTTAGTCAGGGGAAAGAAAGATGCTATTAGAAGGGATAGGTGATGGAGGCCAAGATGATAAGAAGATGTAACAATGGAGAAAGAATATTAAAATCTAAGGCTGCCCAATGCATTGTAAACAGCAATAATCTTTCTTAGAAATGTTAGAATTCAGTTGCACCAAAAGAACAAGTATGGTCTGGAATTGGAATAAAAATACCTGAGAAGTTATATTTCTCTAGGCAACAACGTGTTATTTCTGTTTTTAGCAAAAGTTCATTTATGCCTAAATATATTTCTGTCTATATATAAAAAAAGATTTTTAACAAATTGGTCAGCCAAAGAATGATGGGTTTTAATTTTAATCATATCAATTTATTACTAATTTTGGTCTTCCCATTAGTTCCCTATATAAAAACAATGAGTTTCTCAGTAGTAGGTACAATAACTTTTAAAGAGAACTTGGGCAAAATAAGATAGAAATCATAAATAACCAGAAAGTAAATGAAGCAAAATTGTCTAGTATGATATGTGCCCTAAAGTATATTAATATTTTCCCATAAATTTTTAGATTGTTAAAGTAAAATTATCTTAATCTAGCATATTGTAAATCATTATAAAAGAGTCTAATCTTTAAAAATTATGAAAGATTTCAGATCTCATAATGGAATTAGAAATGTTAGTTATTATGTTACTGGTCAGATTTGGTCTGTATTTTCTGGGCCGCCTCAGGTAGAATCTGGTCATAATCAGTGCTATACATCTGAGAGCAGACAAATGCTTCCTTGTTTGGGGGTTCAGGATAAATTGTGGCTGTCTTTTCTTGGTATGCATCTTTCACAATCTAGAAATAGAAAAAGAGTCTTAGTTATATTTTAAGGAACAGAGGTGATGGTGAGTACATGGCAGAAGTTTTTGTCTGTTCCTAGAAAATTAATATATAATTTATATCTTATCTGTTTTCAAAAACAGCAAGTTGTATTAAAAGCACACATACACAAATAAGATATAAAATGAAAGTGCAAATATAAATTATGTAGCAAGAGGAGAATACAATAACAGCAACAAAGGGAAGTGTGGATAGCAGAGATTTATTCAAGGGTGATCACACCAGGATTTCTCAGATAACGTGGGAAATGTCTTGAAATGACCTGACTGGTAATTAACTTGAACTGACTATCGTAATATGCCTACTAAGTTTGAACTTCAACACCTTGCAGTTTTAATAATCTCTATTCTAACCATAGCCTCTTACAAAATCTCTTTTTTTACCCCTGCTCACCTGACCCTGCTCACCTAACCAGCAGGACTCCACGGGCAGTTTCAACGCCCCTTCCCAGCATCACAGAATCCTGTTTCCATATCTCTGTGTCACACTCTCCATTCTAGTCCCGAGCGTGGGGAACCCTCAGTGCCAGCTTTCTCCTTTCATGGCTCTCCCCCGCAACGTCCTACTATTCCTAACCTCACCTGGGTTACGTGGTTACACATTATGCTTTTATCCTCCTTTTGAAAAATAAAATAAAAAGCAACTTCCTCTCAGCTTTCTCACAGGTAATTTCAAACCATCCCCTGTTGAGTCTCCATTTAACTCTCACCACTCTACTGAGAAGATTCCAATTAATCTGAGAAAACAATCTCAATTTCCCTTTACATCAACTCAAACTATCTCCTCTTTCTCTTCAAACGTCCTCTCTTCCCATATTTTCTCTGAGAAAAATGGATTGTCAAAATGAATCATTCCATATGTGCTCTTAAATTACTCCTGTTTCACTGAGGAGCTATTGTACACTAGACTTATTTGGATAAGTCTGTTTTCGAAGAATATTAGAATGGTTAGGTATCTCTTCTCAATGTAAAACTATGCATTTATGAAAAATTATGGTTTTAAAGACTGTGCTATATTATGAAGAAATGTTTATGAAAATATCAGAAAACAAAACACCATACATTATTAAATTATGTTAGAAATGAAAGCAAACACATGAAAAAAGACTGGAAGCACACACACCAAAATGATGAGTTGCTTCTGTTAGAAAAGTCAAATTTAGGCATTTCCCTCTTCTCTATTTTCCAAAGTGCCTGCAATGCATTGTTTCATTTCTGACATAGACGATGTGGAATTTCATTCCTCTTCATGCTCCCAGGATACTGACTCTTAATGATCCTCTCAGTGAAGTCTTCCCTCTCTCTTTGTCAAAGCCCAACTCTCTAGAAGAGTGGCTTTGATTAACTTCTTGTACCATTGAAATTGCTTTTTGTAATAGTTTCTGATGACTTCTTACATATAAATAAAAATTGTCAACATTCGAACGAGTTTTTCTTGCCAGGACTTGATTTCCTTAATCACAATGTCCACCCCGATCCTGAAAGTGTGTCTTCCTCTAATTCTGACATGCTGCGCAGTCCTGAGTCTCTCCTTGAAATCATGACTTCTCTTCCTAACTGCCTTTCTTCTGCCTTTTGGCAGAAAAGAAACGGTGTTCTATTCTTGGTTTTCTTTTCTTTCCATAGTTGCCCTCTTGTAATCCCAACTCCTGTGTGGTGCAATAACCATTCAAACTAGTTAAAGGCGAGTAGACACACATCAGGAGAAAACATGAGCATACGCTTTACAAATAAATAACCAAGCAGATTATCTAAATGGTTTTTGAAGGATTACTCAGTTTTTGAAGCATTTACCCTCAATCAACAAGATAAATAATGACATATGAATCCTAAATGGTGTCGTTTTGATAAACTTGCTAATAGCTTTGGTTTTCAACCACAAACCATTTCGCCTCTGAGGGACCAATTGGCAATGTTCTGGAAACATTTTTGTTTGTCACAGCCCTTCAGAGGCTACTGGTATCTAGTGGGAAAAGGCCAGCGATGCTGTTAAATATCCTTCAATGCCCAGGACATCCCCACAACAAAGAGATATCCGGACAAAATGTGGATGAGGTTGAGAAACCCTAGCTTAAATATATAATTATATTATGGGCTGAACTATGTCACCCCAAAATACTGAAGCCTTAACCCCCAGTATTCAGAATGTGACAGTGTTTGGAGACAGGGCCTTTAAGAGGTAATTAAGTTAAAACAAGGCTGTTTGGGTGGGCCCTAACCCATGTTGACTGGTGTTTTTATGAGAAGGTAAACCTGAACAAATGACACCAGGGATATGCATACACAGAAGGAAGACCCCATGAAGACACAGAGAAGGCAGTCACCTACAAGCTCAGGAGAGAGTCCTCCAAAGATATAAGTCCTGCTTATGCCTGAATCTTAGATTTCTAGCCTCCAGAATTATGAGAAAATAAATGTTTTTAAATCACCCAGTCTGTGGTATTTTGCTATGGCAGCCCTAGCAAACTAATACAACTATATTGCAATAATATTAATCTCTCTCAGTTACAAAAGATTTCTCTGCCATTAGATTCTTTTTGGCTGATTCCTTCAATAGCTCATCTACCGCCCCAACAGCTTTGAGTGCTTTGCTGTCATTGCATTGCCCTCTGCCAGTGTTATTAGTTGTGATCTTTAAGATACCGTACACCATGGAGACCCGGATCCACACACCATGGAGACGCGGATAAGGCAGGTATTTTGGAGTCTAAATGTCCATCTACCACATCTGCAACATGTTAGCAACTTTCATAACTGTGATATGGAAGATACTAACTAAAAAAGGGTAAAGTGTAAAAGACGTACCTGAAAGGAAATCCTAATGAATCACTTAAATTATAGGAGAGAAAAAGATTGATGGGGGAATTAATGATTCAGCTGATTCTTCCATTGCTACAGATCAGAGTCCCTAAGCTCTGCTGAGGCTCTGTGCCTGCTGACATAATAAGGTGACAGAAATTTCAAGAGAGTGGATTTTTAATACCAAAAAATGCATATTTAACAATAGAAGGAAGGAAAAATAACGAGGTTGAACAAGAACAGTTTTACCTTTACTGCGATTTTCAGAGAAATATCTCTAATGGTGTTCAAAGGAGGATACAGGCGGCCCTCTGCCAAGTGCTTATCTGACACTTCCTGAGCTATAACCTTAAAAAAAAAAAAAGAAAAAAAATGTTTACACTTCACACATACGACGTGGGGGTTATGAGGATAATTAGGTGAACGGCACATATACAGTCATGTATAGAAGCGGATCACATGAATGGGATCCTCTAATTGCCCCTCCCCCTTTATCAACGGAAACACTGCACCCAGACAGGCTTGGTGATTGGTGAGATCACACCATTAGCGAAAAAGACAGGAATAGAATTTGGGTTTTCTTAGTCCAGTTCCTGTTCTACTGTACCATGAAATGCCAGCAGCTCTCCCATTTGCCACATGAGAGGAACAGGGAGAGAGGAGTAGGAAGTTACAGGAGGACGACAGTGATGGAGAAGGAGCCTGAAAGCCGCTGAGGAGGGAAGGTGTGCAAAGCTGATGATGCCATGACTCACAGCTCACAGAATCTTGCACAGGAGGGAGAGCAGGAGGCTGAGAAACCTACTTCAGAGTTGCCTTGCGGGTAGGATTTTAATTTCCCACAGATTCTGGAGTATCTGGATCACCTAACTAGCATCAGCGTCTGCTGTCCGCAACCATCCCCATTTCTAAATCAAGCAAAAAGTGCACTCATGCACACTTAAACATTTGCTAAGAGGGTAGCTCTTATATTAAGTGTTCTGACCACCACAACTTTTCACGTGTTAATCATAACTCAATAAAGTGGTTTTAAAAATAGGAGAAAACTTGGCATCATGTGCCTCCTGAGGTGTTGCCCTGAGAAGGAGACAATTACTAGGCATTCAGTGCTCCTCACAAAACCATGCAACTTGAATTAAATCAGAAGGAACCAATCAGAGGCCTAAATTGAGGAACACTGCAAAATAACTGGACTGTACTCTCCAATGTTAATGCCATAAAGGAAACAAAAGGCTGAAATATTCTTACAGATTAAAGGATTAGCCTAGATGCTCTGAAGGTCCTTTTAATGGAAAATTTGAATTTGGATTGTGCACTAAATAATAGTATTATATCAATGCTAATGTTCCTGAATTGATAATGGTGCATTGATCACATAAGAAAATTTCCCAAAATATTTAGGGGTAAAAAGGCATACTATCTGTAAGTTGCTTTCAAATGGTTCACCAATAAAATACGA